GTTTCAGCAGCTTTTAGTACAGTCACAGAGGCGAGCCACTATTGCTGCTACCCGGATCCAGAACATTTCCCCTTCCCTCTCCCCAAAGAAACCCCATCTCATGGGCTGAATTGTGTCTCCATCCTCCCCGACCAAAAAGCTAAAACACAGCTGTAACCCCTAGGTTCTAATCCCATCTGTGAGCAGGGTTTTTGTGGTTTTAAAAGGGCCTATCAGTGAAGAGTGCGTCTCCAGCCAATCAGTGAAGAGTGCGTCTCCAGCCAATCAGTGAAGAGTGCGTCTCCAGCCAATCAGTGAAGAGTGCGTCTCCAGCCAATCAGTGAAGAGTGAGTCTCCAGCCAATCAGTGAAGAGTGTGTTTCCAGCCAATCAGTGAAGAGCGCGTTTCCAGCCCAGCCCCTTTGAGATAGAGCTAGAAAGGGAAGAGAAGCAAGCAGAGATAGGGGTAGAGAGAAGCTACGCCTCATGAAGCCCCCCAAGAACAGCCCCCCACACCCACAAAAGCTGACACAGAGAGCCTTCCTCTATAGCCAGCCCCTCAACTGAGGCTTACAGCCTCCCTCCTAAATGGTGAAAGACTGCAGTATTTCCTTCTGTTGTGCCTACGGTCGCTCTGGGTCTGAACCGACCCCACGGCACCAAACTGTGAGAGAATATTTGTGATATTTCTCTTCTGGTAGCACTAGATGACTCAGGTACAGTCGCTCCCCGGCCTCCCTCCCCAAGACCCTGGCACCCACGGGTCCACGTTCTGTCCCCATGGTTTGTCTGTCCTGACGTTTCCTATGCATGGAATCAGATAAGAATTATCGTTTGCGTCTGGCCCATCTCCCCCAGAGTAAAATTTTCAAGGTTCACCCACGTTGCAGTCTGCGTCAGGGACCCAGTCCTTCCCCTGGCTAAGTAATATTCCATTATTAGAGTGTGACAGCACACCGTTCACCTGGAATATCCCTGCGCCATCGTGTCTCATCCCACTGTTCTACTGGAATATCCCAGCGCTCTTGTGTCTCATCCCACTGTTCTACTGGAATATCCCAGCGCTATCGTGTCACATGGCATCGTTCACCTGGAACATCCCTGCGCCATCGTGTCTCATCCCACTGTTCTACTGAAATATTTCAGCGCTATTGTGTCAAGGCCCACTGTTCTACAGGAATATCCCATCGTCTGTTGTCAGGAGCCAAAGTGGTGCCGTGGCTTATTCATTGGGCTGTTAACCACAAAGTCAACATTTCAAATCCACCAGTCACTTCTTAGGAGAAAGAGGAGGCTTTCTCCTCCCGCACAGATGGACAATCTTGGACACCGCGGGGACAGTTCTCCTCTGTCCTATGGATTTGCGATGAGTGGGAATGGGCCCGATGGCAGTGAGTTCATTAGTTTGTCTGCTGAGGATCGGGAAACTATGGGGGACAGCCCCTGACAACACAGGTCTTCCATTGGATGGATGAACCCCCTCTTGTTGACCCATTCATCAACAGATGGCCATTTGGATGGCTCAGAACCTGCTGACCCCCACCAGGGGATGATGAGGGAGCTCTGGCGGCCCAGTGGTTAAGCGCTTGACTGCCCACCTGCAGGCCAGTAGTTCAAACCACCACCTGCTCCTCGGGGAAAAAAGCCTGGGCCATCTGCTCCCATAAAGGTTCCAGCCTAGTAGATTCTGTGGGTCAGCTCTGCTCTGTCACAGGACATGGCTATGAGTCTGGAATCAACTCCGTGGCATCCCAGGATAGCCCTAGGATCCTGTGGGGTGGCCCCCAAACAAATCAAGAAGCATACGCTGCCATCGGGGTAGAGCTGCCCCTGTGGGTTTCCGACATGGTCATTCTTTACGGGAGAAGAAAGCCCCCATCGTTCTCCCCCAGAGGGGCTGTTGGTGACCTTCCACTTGACAGACTACGATGGCCTTCTCTAGCAACTGCGCTTTCCTGGTGGCATATCCGAAGTAAGTGTGCCGAAGTCTCCCCACCCTCCCTGCTCAGGAGCATTTCTTTGATGGCCGGAGGAGACACTCTGTACGGATTATTGAACAAAGCATGAGGAAGAAGTACGGCCGGGATGCTCCTGAGAAACCAGGATGACGAGACTTTGTCTTACGTACTTAGGACCCAAGAGAAGCTGTGGTTCACAGGTCGGAGACAATGGTGAGTATTTGGGGAAGGGGCCATGTCCAGGAACGCTGCCCCCCCTCTACATACATAAATCTGTACCTCCTGGGTGACGCAAATGGCGATTGAACTCAGCTCTGAACAGAGAAAAGGGAGGGCGGGTCAAAGCCACCCTGGGTACCTCGGAAGAAAGGCCTGGTGTTGTGCCTGGGCATCCCCAGGAGTCAGTGTCAGGAGCCCAGGGTAGACTGTGGAGCCTGACAAGCCCCCACACCCAACCCAACAAACAAACTAACTCACCACCATCAAGGCCATGTTGCTTCATCATCACCCCATAAAACAGGGCGAACAGCACCTGGAGTTTCCAAGACCAGAGCTCTTTACAGGAGAAAGAAGGCCTCCTTTTGCTCCAGAGGAGCGGCTGGTGGTTTCAAACTGCTGCCCTTGTGGTTATCAGTCCGACATGTCACCACTGTGCCAGCTCCGGCCAATTTTGTCGATGGTCTTTTCCTTGTGTTTTCTTGTTGCAAGGAGACCCGAGAAAGCACCCCAGTGCCTCTGCGCTGAGGGAAGGAGCTGGACTGTTGGTGAAACCTTTTTTGAATCCATCTGATGAGCATTTGATAACACAGGTCCCAGGTGAGCAAGAGATGAAGTCTCTTTCCCCGTCCACACGTGGACCAGAAGACTTCAGGGGTTTAGAAATGTCCCTGCGGTTGCTCAATGACCTTCGCAGCCCACAAGGAGGCTGGCAGAGGGTGGTGGGTGGGTTCTGCTGCAGAGCACACATGTAGATGCCCCCTGTCACCAGCCCATCGCAGAGCCAGCTGTCTCTCTGTTCCCTCAGCAGAGACTCCTGTTTGGAGGTGGAGGGAGGCAGAGACCATCCTCCCTCCAAACTACCAGGGGATCCAGAGAGAGAGAAAGACAGAGAGAGAGGGAGAGAGACCAAAATTCAGCCCCCTCCCATCCCGAGGTACCAAAAAAACCCCAAACCCACTGCCATCAAGATGATTTCAACTTGTCGCGACGCTACAGGACAGGGTAGCACTGTCCCTGTGGGTTTCTGAGACTGTCACTCTTGACGGGGGTAGAAAGTCCAGTCTTTTTCCCAAAGGTGCAGCTGATGGGTTTGAACTGCCAACCTTGAGGATCGCGGCCCATTGAGTAACCACTATGCCATTAGGGGGAGAGGATGACTAGGCTGTCTGCTCTGGTAAAGAGTTCACTGTCTCAGAAACCCCTGGGGGCAGTTCTAGCCTGTCCTCTGGGATCGCAGTGAGTTGGCACCGGTTCAGTGGCAGTGTTCTGGGTACAGGAGGTGCCCGCCGAAGGCCTTATCCACACCACCACTTGGTGGTCACTGTCCTTAGCGGCCAACATGCCCTGCCTCTCTTCCCCTGAGACCATCACTCTTGTGGTCTGTGGGCTTTCCTGGGCCGATTTTCAAAAGCGGGTGGCCAGGCCTTTCTTCTTCGTGTGGAAGCTTTGCTGAACCCTGTTCAGCTTCCTGGCAACATGCCAGCCTCCCTGGGCCCGCAGACGGACAGAGGTGCACAGGCTGGGATTGGAAGGTGAGGATTCTACCCAAGCCCCCCTCCCCACACCCTCCAGCCACTCCCTCACCCGGCCTGGGCTGCCTGTTTCTACAGCCTGTGCTCAGCAGCACAGGATGCCGAGCTAAGTCCTCCCTCAGCCCGCAGGATGTCTCTGAAGCCAGCAGCTTGTCCCCACCGGGCACCCCTGTGTCCTCAATTCCCCAAGCACGCAGGAGCTGCACGACCCCCAATCTCCCACCACCGTCCCTGCCTTTTCTGCATCCCCAGAGTTGAGCAGGATCAGCCACCTGGGCTTGGCCCTGAGCTGAAGGCTTTTCCAGGGGCGTGAGACCGCTGGTCCAGCCGACGCCGACTCAAAGCGACCCTCTCGGTTGGAGTCGAACTGCCCCTGTGGGATTCCCAGACTGACGGGAGCAGACAGCCTCCTCTTCCTCCCACTGGTGGGTCCGTGCTGTGGGCCTGGCATGACCCACTGTGCCTGCAGGGCTCCTGGATGCACGACTGACCGGGAGAAAAGCAGGGTGGTCCCGGGAGGGCGGTGGGTTGGTGGGCAGGGGAGAAATAGCCCTGGTGGAGCATGGATTTAAGTGCTGGGCCACTGGCCAAGGGGTGTGGACCCTGCTCCAAGGGAAACAGTGTGCACAGCCGAGGCTGACCGCCTTGGAAACCCCCAGGGGCAGTTCTACTCTGCTCTCCGGTGTCCCCATGACTTGGAAGCAATTCGGTGGCAACAGACTTGGTGTGGAGGGGAACACCTGTGGACACGGAGCCCAGCCATGTAAGGGTTATGTGCTGAGCGGCTTCGCAAAGGGGCGCAAGTGGGAGTCACAAGAGATGTGCAGCGGGAGAAAGGTGCGGCAGCCTGCCTTCCTTGGTGACCACCCGGCAAACTGCCCTGGGATTGCTATGCATCCAAACGAGCCCCACGGCAGCAGGTTTGGGCTGGCAAGACAGCCAGCATCAAGTCACCGTCACCTCCTCCAGGAAACCCTCCCTGATGTCCCGCCGGTAGTCCCATCCTGCCCCCACACTCACCTGGGCTGCAAGCCCCGGTGGGCAGACAGCGGCCCTTCTGTGGTCACTTTCGCGTCCCCCAAGTTCCACCCCACCCCAAGGCACTGGACGGTCAGCAATAAATGGGGGCCGCCCGCCCGGCTGGAGCTGAGCGCGGGAGAGCTGCAGCTCAGAGAGGCCAACTGCTCAGGCAAGAGTCCCCAGCAGGGGCGTGGGGGAGCCAGGGTTTGAATCCCGGCTGCCCAGCTGGTGGCATGCCTCTGTCCCCAGCCAGCCATCCGCCCCTCCCGGCTGGCCCCAGACTCGCCCCTCACCGTGTTGTAGAACTCAGCCACTAGCTCTGAGTACTGGAAGTTGATCTCACACCAGTCCACTTCCGAGCTCTGGTAGGCGAAGATGCTGGGCATGGTGGCCACTGGCAGAGAGGAGCCAGTGAGGCTGGGAGCACCTACCCCGGGCTCCCGGGCTCCCGGACAGGCGGGCGGGCAGGAGGGGAGAGGTCAGCTGGGCGCCCCAAGGCGGGTGAGAGGAAAAACCTGCCGGGCTGCTTGGAGATTGCGCTAGAGCTACCTGGCTGTGGGTAGCAGCCGCCCATCCTGGCCACCAGGAATGTCGGAGGACGGAGTGAACAACACTCATAATCATAATGACACAGCCAGGAGGTTGCCATCTGTCAGCAAGGTGAGCCACCCCTGGCACCTGGCACGGCGAGACCGAGCTGCGGAGGGTTGCCTGAGGCTGACTCTCCGGGAGCCTGTCACCTCCCCTCTCTCCTGAGCAGCCGCTGGTGGATTCAGACCTCCCATCTTTCTGCGATCCCCACCGGCCCCGCCCCGCCCGGCGACACTGTCCATTCTGACACAGAACCGGACCTCGATGGGGTCTCTGAGGCTGGAGATCGCGGTGGGAGCAGCCAGCCTCCTCTGGCTCCCGAGCAGAGGCTGGTGGGTTTGAACCACTGGTCTCGTGGTTCGCGCCGCCCAGCGCTTAACCCGATGCGCCACCGGGCCCCCTTAGCCATGCTGCGGACCAAACCCACGGACGTAAATATATACACACCAACCTCACTGCTGGTGCCTCCATGCCGACTCATAGGACAGAGTCGGTAGAACTGCCCCTGTGAGTTTCGGAGACTAACTGTTCATGGCAGTAGAAAGGCCCCATCTTCC